TTTTTTTTTTTGAGTCAGAGTCTCATGCTGTCACCCTGGGTAGAGTACTGTGGCATCATAGCTCATAGCAACTTCAAACTCTTGGGCTCAAGTCAGCAGTTCTCAACTTGTGGGTCACAACCCACAGGAACTGTATTAAGGGGTTGCAGCATTAGGAAAGTTGAGAACCACTGCTTAAGCGATTCTCAAGCCTAAGCCTCCCACGTAGCTGGGACTACAGATGCCCTCCACAACACCTGGCTATTTTTTGGGTTGTAGTTGTCAGTGTTGTTTGGCAGGCCTGGGCCAGATTTGAATCCACCAGCTCTGGTGTATGTGGCTGATGCCCTAGCTGCTTGAGCTACAGGCACCGAGCCTGTGTTATAGTTTTTTCATCTGTAAAAATGAAGTGCTATCATGAAGTGGGTGCTCAGTTAAATGTCCTCCCCCTTCCCTTTTAACTAAGTACCCACTTTGTGATAGCAATGGAAGAAACGCTTTTATTTCACTAACTGTCCTCCATGGCTCACAGACAGTGAGGCCCAGGAATGTTCTTTGTTCATGTCCACACAGCTCTAAGTGGGCCCACATCTGACTGTATAATCCTTACTGTTCTCCCAATTTCAGGGCAACCTGTCCATCCACTCATCAGCGATAATGCATCTCTCACGTGCCGGCCACTGTCTGATCCACTCCTCCAAACACAAAATATTAGGACCACTGAAGCCTTCCAAAGCCCTTGCCTTAGTGCAGTCCCTGGGACACCAAGAGGGTGCAGTAGCTCAGATTCCCAAACACAACTCTGCTCTCTGTGGGTGTGGAAGAGATGTTGCTGGGCACCTGAGTGTCATCTCTCTGGGTGCCAGACTGCCCAGGCGACTAACATCCCTCCTCTGGGTTCCTGCGCAATGAGCTGTTCAAGTTGTAAAGCCCCCTGGGTAGCCAAGCATGCCTTTGGGGCAGAGGCACTGGTTCTGACTGTCTCACTGGGGACACTGGAGGTCAAGCAGCTTCGTGGAATGGGTGCATGCAAAAGCCCCAGGTTTAGGGAGTGGCATCACTGTCCTCTGCACATGGGTGGCCCTGGCTCCCCAAAGAAGCTACAGCTGGGGGAAGCTTCTAAAGGGGTTATAACTGCTTGTGGCAAGTTATAGCAGCCTGATCCCCGGGTGGAGGTTTGACAACCTGGAGAGAGGCCAGTTCAGCCCCCATAAGGAGAGGTGCACACATGTGTGTGGTGGGGATAATGGGCCCTGCAGACAATCCCAAATCTTCCATGTTGGAGGGATGGGAGCTGGCATAAGCCCCTGGTTCCCTAAGGTGTGAGGACCAGAGAGACACAGATTTGGCAAAGACAAGGGCAAAAGGGAAGGAAACAGGAGACACACAAAAAGAGAGGCTCTACAGTGAAACAGGAACACAACTTTATGGGAGCAGTCCTGGAATAGAACTGCATGTTTCCTAGCTATGAATTTTTTGGGGGTGGGGGACAGAGTCTTAACCTGTTGCCCTGGGTAGACTGCCATGGTATCATAGCTCACAGCAACCTCCAACTCAGGCTCAAGCAATCTTCTTGCCTTAGTTTTTCTATTTTTTAGTAGAAACAGGGCCTCACTTTTGCTCAGGCTGGTCTCGAATTCTGTTGAGTTCAAACAGTCCACCCACCACAGCCTCCCAGAGTGATAGGATTACAGGCATAAGCCATCTTGCCCAGCCCTTAGCTATGACTTTAGATGAGATATCATCTCGGGTGGTGCCTGTGGTTCAGTGGGTAGGGCACTGGCCCCATATACCGAGGGTGGTGCATTCGAATCTGGCCCCGGCAACACAAAAGTAGCCAGGCGTTGTGGTGGGCGCCTGTAGTCCCAGCTACTCGGGAGGCTGAGGCAAGAATCGCCTAAGCCCAGGAGTTGGAGGTTGTTGTGAGCTGTGACACCATAGTACCAAGGGTGATAAAGTGAGATTGTCTCTTAAAAAAAAAAAAAAAGAAGAAGAAGAAGAAAAAAA